CGACTTAATGACTAAACAACAACAAATGAAAATGTATGAAAGAAAGCAGGCCACAAATCAATCTCCAATGTCTTTATAAAAATGCTGGGAGTACGGGAAACAAACAAGAAGTGGAAATCTTAGCTGAGGAAGGTAAATGTGACTTGATAGAAATAACTTAAACTTGGTGGGATGACTCCCATGACTGGAATACAGCAGTTGAAGTATTTAAATGGTCCAAAAAGAATAGAAAGAATAGAAATGGAGGTGGAGTCACAGTATATGTAAAAAAATACATCTTCCTGCACAGAAGTACAGAAGAATGAACTTTGTTGTATCCTGAAGACGATGAACCTGGTTGTTCTACTAACAGCATGTTGGTTAATATAATTGGAGCAAAAAATGAAAGGAACATGGTAGCTGGCATTGACTATGGACTGCTCAATCAAGGAGAAGATGCAGAAGAAACATTTGAAAAGCAAATTGCAAGAATTTGAAAGAAATACAATGTAGTAGCAAATTCTGGCAAACGCAGCCCTTCCAAGAAAATACAAAAATACAGCCTCCCTGGCTTGTGGAGCTGATAATTTTCTCCTCCAAAAAGTGAAGGAAGAAATTAGAGACAGTCACAAACTACTGGTTTGGCAGTTTATGTTGGTTCATCTTTTGGAAGAACAAGTGTTTAGTGCTTCCTAGCCCCGCCTCCTCCTGCAAGCACCCACGCAACGGCAGTACCCAGAGTAGGTGGGGCAGAGAAGCCAGAACGTTGCCTCTGAGTGGCTGCCCAGCAAGGGAAGCAAAGTTGGGAACTGCTGAAACCTGTTCGTTCAAAGGACAACATCGCATGAACTGCTGAACCAGCCACAAGGACCAGTGATTACAGCACACAAAAGACCAGCTAACGACACCCATCAATCACAGTGACAGATCATCTCTTCCCATCCACAACAAAAACACGCTGATCACCATAATCACCCAATCTCCCGAAAAGGACAAAACCTGTTCCCACAGCTATAAATACTCAACCATCCAACAAACTGCAACAGAGCACAGACAGCATTCTGACTCCTGTCCTCTGAAGATGCCGACCACAGAGACTGGTGAAACGTTAGGAAGAACAACCTTCAGAACACGGCCAAAGAACCCAAAAAACCCACAGCAGCCATCAGATCCCAGCTGTGAAAGCCTTCGAGAATGCAGTCAAGGAATACTTTATTACCTTGAAGAAGCTGAAATCTCCAGGGCTAGATGAAGAGCATCCAAGAATATTGAAGGAACTGGCTAAGAAACTCTCAGAACCACTGTCTATTATTTTCTTGTTAGACTAATCTTATCTCATTTTT